ACAGAGCACTTCCAAACGAATGGTTCGCAACTAATAGGTACTTGATGCCTATGCGGATGATATTGTTGTGGTGGAAACTAGCGGAATAAATAGCAAAGGAACGTTTGTTAAACTGGAGCACGAGGCATCTAAAATGGGTCTAAGGATCAACGAAGGGGAAGAGTGGGACAAAATGTGCAAATGAATAAGTATAACTTTGGAAACATCAAGCAGTTCAAGTACCTATAAGTTCGATCATCACAGCCGACAATGACATCGGCGAGGAAATAAAGTACCTACTAAAAACTGCAAACAACTGCTTCTATGCAAGATGCAAAATCAAAGTAGGTATACAAAACATCATCAGTCATCAGACCTTTCATCAAATACGGCTGCGAATCGTGAACGCTAACGGCACGAAATGGGGAGGTCATCCGTAGATTTGAAACGCGAGTACTCAGGAAAATATACGACATGATAAAGGAACCACAGACGCAGCAATACACCGTTTTTAAACGCTACATTTTGGTGTTGCAACGGTTACGTCATATACGGAAACCGTTCAACCAGTTTCGAACCGCTCTTTCAGCCTGTTTCAAAATAGACGTTGAACAGCTGATCTCAAAATACAAATTTTAGAGATGTCACGTGCTCCGTTTTAAAACGGGGCCTTTTTGATCACCACCAATATGATGACGTAGCAATCGAACCAGTTTTAAAACGTAGATACGCAGGACACGTGCGTAAGGCAACCCGAAGAAAGGCTAATAGGACTGGTATGGCAGAAATCCCCAGTAGGGGAAAAGGCCACTTGGAATCCTCTGGGTCTTAGTCTGGACTAAGATGGCAGGACAACATTGCTGCGGATCTGAGAAAACTGGACATCGAAAATGCTACATGAAGCTTATGAACGTGTCGGATAGAGGCAAGTCGTCGCGTCAGCCAAAGTCCAACAGAGGCTGTAGCGCTACGAAGTAAGTAAGTATTAGCTAGGTATAGTAATCAGTAGGCCATGAGAAGCAAATGTCATTTGAGTAGATGATTTAAAATGAAAACAAAAAGTAGGTAAGTTCAAAAATCGAAGATGTTCTTCGGTGATATGTAAGTTACGAGTAGGGTGTTAAATGCAACTTCATCATATCAGACTTAACCAATATCCCAATACCTAATTATTACAATAAAAATACGTCTTTGCAACGTTAATTGAACTCCAAAATAAGTATATCTACTACTTATGTGGAGCGGCAACCTATAACCTGTGGTATAACCATGGTTTTATAGACAACGACAACGACGTCGCAACCTGGAGAGTTTGATTCGTATTACTCAGTTAACGGTCATTACAACCTTAGTTTATATAACCACAGTTCTAAATCATAGTCGGTTGAAAGTCGCCTAAAGTGAAATATGGTCATAGTTTTACTACAAACGTTGTGACAACGTTAAAGTGTCCAATTCAAATGAGTACTAAACCTTCTAACAATATTCTTTGGTACTACATGCTATACTCAAGGAGGGCCTATCGATATGTACATCGAAAGGTAGGTATATTCTCGATGATGATGATGATGATGATGATGCATATCCATACGAATTTTTCATTTCGATAGGTATCAATAAGGATCTTGCAATATTAAAACCATTATTTAATATCAATCATCAAACGCAAATGTCAAGGTTTGAGAATATCAGGAATCAAGACATATTTTTTCTATCCTTAGGCTCATGAATTTCCTTTATTTCGAAAAATCCAAGAGCCGGGAATAGACAAAAAATAAAGCTGAAAAAGTTGAAAGATACAGAGAAAAGAGAAATTGAGAAAATATTGGTATAGACAAATAATAAACATAAAGTATTTTGTTTCATTCCAAGCACCTTTAGAAAAAAACGTAAATTCAAATTCATCTTTGGAATTTCCGAAATATGGAAACATGACGTCACTGAGCTCCGTAATGCGCAACTTTTTCCAAATTTAACCAACTCTGTATCTCCTATGGTTACCGAGGTTCCTGTAAAGTGCACTTGCGCAGACTGCACAAATCCAAAGATACCAATAAATGTCTGACAAAGTACGGATAAAAAGGGGTGTCCGGCAGGGTTGCATCATTTCACCATTACTTTTTAAAATTTATTCAAACAAAATATTTAAAAAATCATTAGAAGACTGCACTGAGGGAATTTCTATCAACGGCGCCGGCGTGAACATTAACAATCTTCGGTATGCAGACGGATCTTTGGAAGGTCTTGATCATCCTGGCTACTGGAAGTGGAGAATTTGGATCAAAATTGAACGCCAAAAAATTTAAATCGATAGTGATAAGTAAGAACCAGGTTAGAGGAGGTAGTCTTCAGATACAAAACCAAAACAGATCGATCTGGTCCAATCATACAGACAGATACCTAGGATGTCGAGGTTAATGAAGATTGGGTTAACATGCAGGAGGTTCGTGTCAGGATTGAACAAGCCAGATCATCATTTCTAAAAATGAAGTCCGTGTTGTGTAGTCAAAGTATCTCGCTCTCCGTTCGCATTTGAGCACTACGTTGCTACGTCTTCAGTATTCTCTATTATGGGATTGAGGCGCGGACTCTGATACTAAGTGTAAAAAGCTAGAGGCTTTTGAAATGTGGATATATAGATGGATGTTAAAAATATCTTAGATGGACAAAGAATGTCGAAAGATTTTGAAGTAAGGTTTACGCTTAACAGGCTAAAGTTACAGTACTTCGGACACATACTCAAGAATGACAAATACCTATTTCTCAAACTCATAATCGAGGCTCTGGAAATCGAAGAATATTTTGGCTGAAGAATTTGACCATGACAAGTCTATTCAGAAAAGCAGTCGACAAAGTACAGATAGCGCTGATAACTGCCATCGTTCGTAGATGACAAGGCACTTGAAGAAGAAGAAGATACTTATGAATATCGATAAACCTTACTCTATAGGTACTATAGACAATTATGTGGGAAGTCGGTTAAAAGTTGCTCAAACGGTATCTGTTGGCTTTATAGTTTAAAAATATTGAATTATAGTTAGGTGAATTAGGTACTAATTTCGACACTAAGTCAAGTATGATGCTGAATTTGGTGCATATTCAAGTCATTAGATTAATCGCCAAATTACTACTGCGAAAGGAAAAAAAATAAGGTAAGGTAAATATTATCCTTTGTATTTTGTGAAGTTATAGTCGTATCTTGTCTTCTTATATCTTCTCTTGTGACTTGCCATTGATAGGTCTTATTTATCTTTATAGTCTTTTCTACTGCCTTATCTTCCATTTTTTATGTCATGTCATCTTGGGCCTTGTTTATTATATTTTCATTAATTTTTTAAGGTAAGATGAAATTAGAGATGAAAACAAAACATACGCTCAATAGCATCTCAATAAAACATAATTGTATATTCATAATGTTCAAAATTTATTCAAATTATTTCGCGATAATATTCATTTCAATCCTTCCCCTCCTTCAAGCTTTCTCAAGACATCAGGGGCCAAAAAGGGGTGTAAATATTTTGAATATTTCAACCATAACTTTACGACTAAATCAACCATCAATAAAACACTTCTTCGCCTGTCATAAAGGAACACAAAAGCCACAACTTAAGGCTTGACACATTGATGAGACCTCATCAGCGAATTCTATAAAGAAAATGACTGCTAATAGCGCCACCTTGTAGCATAATAATTATTGTCTTGTCTTACCACCCAGAGTTGAGCTGTCACTGTAATGGACTACCACCCACCGTGACTAAAATGACTAGGCACAATTTTATAAGTTGAAGAGTAAATATAGATTCAAAAAAGCATTTAATTCTCGGAGAATTGTTTCGCTAATTCCGCAAAGAATGTAATAATACCCCAAGGGGGGAAATATAAGCTTTTTCAAGTGGCGAACTTAAAGCGCTGGGACGCCACTTGACCTGACGTCACCGGCGTCGGTTACTTAGCAACAATTAATCACCAGGGACGTTTTAGTATCAACCCGGAAGGGTGACTTTTTCGTCCCTCTACGTCTCAGTTCAGGTGCATACACGATTGATTGATTTTAATACGATTAGCACCAGGATTCGACAGGAATATTATGCTATCTTGTTCTGGTATCTATAACTTGAACTCGTGTCTTTTTTTCAGATTTTTGTAAAAATAGTGCATATATTTTGTTTATTGAACTTTATGATCTGTATTAGAGCAATATTTTTATGTATTTTTTCTATTTTGGTGTCATATCGAAGTCTTTTCGACACTAAAAGTAGTTTCGAAAAGAAGCTCTTTGTGACACTCCTTTTTTACTTATCGGAGGTTGGTAACACTGGCTGACTGATGGTCATCGAACTGTCATTCGCGATTTTATAATAGAAGATTTCTATATTTGGCATGTAGTATTACCAAGCTAAACTATGAAAACAGGAAATATGAGAATAAAATTTCCAAGAATTTTTTTTTATTTTTTTTAATTAAACAATACCAAAATAGAAAAAATAGTATAAAATATTCGTTGTATTTTAATGTACTATTTTGATTTAGATTTTGTAATGTTTACTTACTTTATAAATCAAGATACATATATTTATATCCTCCTAACAATATAAAAAATAGAGTCATATTTTGAAGATCAAAAGGCTTGGTGATTGGTGAAAATGTTAGTAGGTTCTCTTGGAGGCTGCATATTAAATTTAGTCTACTGAGGAATTTTAGTACGTACAACATTGAATATTTTTAATGCAAAAATTTTTGCTCCTAATTTTCTTATTAGTTATGAAGGATTCCAATCAACGTTCTGACAACCAAAATTATTCAGGTGTGGCAAGAAAAATAAAATAAAAAATTTAATAAAATGATGATGCTGATCACGGATAATGAATGTTGACTCAACAGGTTCCATTTTTTGATTTGTGAATGGTTGAAAGATTAGATGGTAAATTATGTCGAGAGAGCGATTATTATTCAATCACAGCTTTGACGTTTCTAATAATCATCCTTTTGTTGCTCAAGATAAATAAAACACATTTAATTTTGTCAAATAATAAATTATTTTTTTATTTTTCCAAATTAAAAACACTTTTGCGGGACATTACAGTTTGAGTTTGAGTGCATTTTAATCTAACAATTTTGACTAAAAGTTATTTACATTTTGATTGAAAACAATATAAAATTAAATATTTACAACAATTATTATAAATAAATTAATACCTTTGAATATCTACAATAATTTTGGATCTAATAAGTATAATATGCTTTAAAAATAATAATACAAAATAATTATTGCTTCGTGTGTAATTGTTGTTATTTTAAATTTGTTTATTATTCATTGCACATTGCACATATTTTAATTAAAATTAAAATAAATTAATATTTTATTATGATTTCACTACATTTTATATAACCCTGTTTTCGTCAAGAAGAAAAAATCGTAGAGTAGAGATCAGCGTATACATAATACATACATACAACAAGAATAATTATTTAAAAAAAAAGGAAAGTATTTACATTTAAAACAAATAAATTTACAAAATTAAAGCTTTAATTCGTTCTTTTACAAATTAAGTACAAGGTTTTTGGTGCATACTAGAGAAGGATTTATCGATACGATGTACCATCGTTACCAAAAGTAACTTGGACAGCATCATATTAGCTCTTGTACTATTATATAATTTTTAGTTTCAAATATTTGTCAAAGTATGAATTAAATGGATGATGGTAGAAGTAGTCCAGGAGATTAATATGAATTATTTTTGTCCCAGAAACTTTTGGTGACGATACGGTTTCGATGATAGTGCATATATCAATATGTATCTTGCAAAATTAAAAACAACATCGAACTTCATTTGTAAAATGCAAATGTCAGTTATCAATGTTGTTATGATGACTGTCAATATTTGGCCTGTTCCGACGCCTCAAAAAGTGTTTCATGAACGGTTTCAAAACCACTCTGTATACGAATTTCTGATTCGACGCACACATTTTAGGTTTTGCGCAGAATCATGACAATACATTGTACGGTTTCCTGCTGCGTTGGAACAAAGCTATTTGTCATCCATAATTTTAAACTAATGTTCTTCGTTCTTGTGTCAATCATAATGCAAGTAGGGTCAATGGTCAATAATATCGATATCTAGCAAGAAGTAGCAATAATATTACACACTACTACAGGATTGCTCATCGGCATCGATTTTTGTAATCAAGATCATATGATGTTGCACCGTTGTCGACGTCATCAACGGTATCATTAGCTTTTTGTGCCAGCGGTTGTAGTTTAGAATATACATTTTATGAAAAAAAATATTATTTAATTTTACCATAATAGGCAAATAGGCAGATGCAAACGAGATATAAAAAGGTTTGTTTTAGAATGGTAATTAATGTACTAAAACCAAGAATACATAAAGCAAAAGCCAGCGGAATCATAGTCTGTGGTGCAAACATCCTACTCGAGAAACGACACGCCGTCTGCGTCATCAGTGGTATTTTGGCGTGGTGGGGGTCTTGCGATTTGAACTACACAGGAGGTCTTATAAGGATAGGTTATTCTGTATCTGTGTAGTGTGTAAATCCTTGAAAAATTAGAGGTTTTGAAAGTATTTCGTTTCGGTAGCTATGTACAGTCATGAGCATTGAAAATGGGACACCCGAGTATTCCTATTGTAAAACGGGCTCACCAGCTACACCGTCGGCAATGACAGGGATTGTCATATTTGACGAAAAGTCCGTTGTACAGAAAAGACATATTTACCAATAGAAAAAAATGACAAGATCTCTGTCATTCAAGTGTCCCACTTTTAATGCTCACGACCATTGCTCACGACTGTATATCGATGACACATCCTCTACTACATTAATCCAAGGCCGTCTTTATATGATTGGCATTTATTATCATCTGTCAAAAGCCAAATGACAAATAAACCTCTTGCGGCTGAAACTGTGAGCTGTCAAAGAGGTAATCGACCCAGTTGTATGGCATGTTGTGATTGGTATAGAAATTGAAGCATGCCTATAATATAGTATTTTTACAAATAAATTATATTTTGTATCAAAAAACAATTTAGCAGTAGGCATTTTATAGCCTTTGTAGTAAACAGAACTTATAGTGAGGAACAAAGCCGGCAGCCTAAAAATTACCTGCTTGCCTCTAAGTTTGTAGAGTCCAAATGTTTATTTTGTTTTTTTGCAAACTAGGAAAACCTTGTACTTTTAAATCTTAACTAAAAAATTAGCACGGGTAGTCTAAAATAAAATCAACTCTCACACACAAACAAAAACGCCTCTAACCTTCACACAAAAAGTCGCATAATCATCATTCACATATCACTATTGTAGACTAACCCGTACTGCTCGTGACACTACCACGCCCTCGCCTGTAACGGCAAGTAGGCGCTGCACTGTTGCTGATAATTCGTCTGTTGTCTGCCGTAGGCCATGGCCAATCCGGAATTGGCCATGCACTGCGCCTGCGCCTGACTGGACTGACACGCCGCCGCAACCGATTGCTGCGCGGCGCGCGACTGATCGGCGTTCGACTGCGCGTTGGACGACGTCGTTTGGTTGCTGCTGCTCGAACACGGTTTGCCGTCTTTGACTAGGACCGGTACTGCCACTCGACGCGGTGAACTTGATGACTGAAACAGAATATTTTCATTAGGATTTTTCAGATTGTTAGGAACTATTCAGTAGTTTAAACTGAAATTCAGATTCAAAACAGTTCCTAGACGATTTTAGAACTATCAAAACAGGAACTGTTTCAGGATATATTTCTGACGCATGTGCAATAACGTATGTATTAGGTTAGTTGTTTCTGTTTAAATTTAGATTGTTTCTGTTTAAATATGGATTTTTTCGTTTATTTTCAGGCATTTTAACATCCTGACACCCTGTAAATTATCTATTAGAAACTATACCTATACTAGTTACAACGTTATTACTTGTCAAGTTCTGATTCTGATATTCTTTACTTCTACTCTACTTATAATATCTACTAGTGCACTCTTCATTTTTAGGAAGTAAAATGATGTTCCGAATTTTCAAGGGTCTCTCGAGTTATCAATGAATCAGATTAAGGTCCACTCTCCGTCGCATGCCTAATTTAATCAGGCAACCATCATGAACATTATTAACCCCCTGGCGGATGTAAACATTCTAAAATTTTATTTGCCACTAACCACACTCATTACGTCGATTAGAGCGACATTAATAGGACACAAATAAAGAATGAAGGCAAAATGGCCGGATTTCGATATTTTTTTTTTATCGCAACGTTGCCATTTCGAAGGCCCAAATTTCTATTTGTTATACAGCATCACTCGTATAGAATGCGATGCGATGGGGTCCGTCTTGAATAAACAGAAACCTACGCGAGACCTTTTACTTATTTTCTTTGGACGTTGTACAAACACGGCCGGGACGATATTATTATTATAACCTATTCTGTTGGGTCCCTCGCGTCATTCGAAAAGATTACCTTTTGTCTCTCCCAACTAAAGGTGGCCTGACATTTTAATTTGATTCGATTCCGAGTTATTTTAATTCTTGTTCGATAGAAATTGTTTATGGGTGGCTTTTTGAATATTATATGTCGTCAGTCAAAGTTGTAATTTTTTTAGACTTGTGCGAGGCCATCTATTAGCACAATCGGTAGCAGAAACAAGTCTGGCTGTCAAAGTAGGCCTTTTTTGATCTTTGAATGACTCATTTAGCTACATCTAATATAATGGAGCATATTATGAAATGATACGGATACCTAACATATTAATTATTTTTCCCTAAGAAAAAACTTTATGGCCTAACCACCTCTAACATCATAGACAAATTTGATTTTTTGATTATCTACTCGTTGCACCGTGTCTCGAAGTGTCGAGAGTAGGGTGTAGTGACGTAGAGAATTGGTTATGAAATGCACAGAAAATACAATACAAAATTCTATTGCGTGTATTTACATGTCATGTCAAAGATAAAATGGCGTTTGTTGGTAGCATCGAGGCTTTTTCTCCTGGTCTGTCCGACATAAATTCATATATGGAACGTATGGGCCAATTGTTCACTTGCAACGATATAGAAGCAGAGGAGAAAAAACGGGCCATGTTTCTTACACTAATAGGTCCTGAGGCCTATGGGGCACTGAAGGATATTCTGTCTCCATCCTTGCCAAGTACTAAAACTTATGATCAACTGGAAACAGCACTCATAAATTACTTCAGTCCAAAAAGATTAACAATAGCAGAGAGGTAAAAATTTTACGGGGCACACCAGGAGCCTAATGAAGACATAAAGTCCTACTCGTCCAAATTAAAGAATTTGTCACAATATTGTTCATCTGGAAATTTTCTGGAAGAGGCTCTCAGAGATAAAGGAACCCGCACATTTCTTATGGAAAAGTGATCTATGTGGAATTTTGCTGAATTTTTGATATTGTGTATAGGGAGTCGTCCTCAACAAAAGTGATCATTGCGCTAATGTTCAATACACAACAGTTTTCAAGATATCAATTAAAAACTTTTAAAAAAATACTCTTCAGTATGACGTCACTCACAGCAACGGAAATTATAACTATCCTTTCCACTTTTGACTTTGACTTTACTCTTCTCCTTTTAACATTAAGAAAAAAAAGATAGCGATAGCGATTTGTGACAAATAGGTAGGTATGCAAACAACACCTAGCTCCTGCCGCAATCGTCAACTTTATGTCATGATGTCTGTCATATAGCCATTTCATTTGTACCTGTTGTTGTTTTTTTTTTTTCCTAAATGTTAAAAGGTGAAGAGTATAAGTATAGTTAGTCAAAGTCGAAAGTGAAAAGGATAGTTTTAATTTTCGGTGCTGTGAGCATACTGGTGACGTCATACTGAAGAGTATCAAATTAAAAAAGTTTTTAATTGATATCTTGAAAACTGTTGGGTATTGTATAGTCTGGCTAGCCAAACGGCGAACTCCAAAAGAATTTGCTGCTTTGCCAAACTTGACGGAAACAATGATAAACAAGTTGGTGACATATTTTTTTTTGCTGTATGGGCATGTGTAGTATTTCGAAATAGAAAAAAATCCGGCAACATTGCGAAATGATGGATGTGGAGAGGCGTGATTATTCAGAGGCATGATTCTATTGGTTAGAGTCTGAACGACAGCACCAGTGACGTGGTTATTTGCGAGACTGGAGAATTTTTTTCTAATAATTTTATTGGTTTATTTCCTTGGTGTTTCCGGGTGGTTTCCGGTGCCACTGAACCGAAAGACATGGCTGTAATCAGGCGGTGTCAGTTGAGGTGTCAGTGGATATTTTTAGGTTACGCCCCAGTTTTCTTCCCCCTTTCGTCTCCACCAAGTTACCACTTGCCAAACTATACATTAGCGCAATGATCACTGTTGTTAAGGACGACTCCCTATACACAATATCAAAAATTCAGCAAAATTCCATATAGATCGCTTTTCCATAAGAAATGTGCGGGGTCCTTTGTTTGTGGACTAAAATCAGAGTCAATTAAGCGAAAACAGTTATCAGAAGATAACTTGACTTGGGCAAATGCTTATAATATTGCTGTCGCAATGGAGCTAACTGAAGGGTAAGTCAGAGCTATCCATAATACAATCAGTGGCGAAGGTCTGCAAGTTAATAAATTGGGTCATAAGAAAGTCACCAGTCACAGTGTAAAACCAGAGAAGAAAGACCAGTCTCCAGCACAGTCACGTTCCAATAACTTTTCAAGGGAGATGAAGCCATGTTTCAAGTGTAAAAGAAGACACAGCCCAGCAAAAGCATGGGAATGCATCAAATGCCACAAAAAGTGTCACACAAGTACAGCTCGTCGTAGTTCAGGCATTAGAGCATTGGAAGAAGATGGCGTGTAGCGTGATATAGAGTCAGAGGATGAAGAAAACTCGTTAGAGCTGGCGTTTATTTCAAAAATCGACAAGGTTTCTGAAAATACTTTAAGGGTAAATATAATAGTCGAGGGTAAGCCATTAGAATTTGAAGTAGACTCTGGTGCATGCAAGACTGTCATAAATGTGGCTACATTTAAAAACCTTTTTAGTTCATATGAATTATTTTCTGTTGATTATAATTTAAAAGTAGTCACAGGTCAGAAAGTCAAAATCGTTGGTGAGATAGATATAAGATTATTGTTCAAAAATTCAAAGTATTTCTTCCCTATAGTGATTCTTGATAGAACTAGATAGTTTAAACCACTCTTAGGTAGGAATTGGCTTAATGTTATAAGTCCTAATTGGAAAAATATTTTTAGTCTATACTTTATTTTTTCCCAAGATAGATTTTGACATTGAAAACTTTGAAACATAAACAATAACGCTTGACCCTAATTGGTCGCAAAATGAGGTGTTTCTGCAGGTTGACATCAGTTTTACAATAGCGACCAATAAGCGGTATTAAGTGGCATTGTTTATGTTTCAAAATTGACAATGCCAAAATCTAGCTTGGAAAAAAATAAAGTATAGGTCAGTTAAGTCAAGCCAGTCAGAATGAGTCAATTGAGTCAGTGCAATCTGCGTCTTGTCAATCAGTCACATGTCAGTAAGAGAGTCAGCGTCAGTCATCAACAGTACCCCCTCGTTTTTATCTGATCGGTGACTTCACCGATGAGTTAACTTTCTTTGTTTAGTGAATGGAAAATGACAATGACGGCCATAGAATGGTGGATTCATCGGTAAAATTTGATGAGAATAAAAACGCAGGGTTAGTAAGTCATTTCAAGATACAAGTCGAAATAATTAAGCCAGTGACAGTCAAAATAATAAAAAGTCAGATTTTTTAATTCAAGAATTTAAAAATAAATTTTCTAAAGTGTTTAAAGAAGAACCCAACTCTGTAATTAAGAATTTTTTGATTGAGTTACAAATTAAAGAGGGTTCTAAGCCAATTTTCCATAGACCGTATGACATGCCATAATATACTTTGCGCGAAAAAGTTACACATGAATTATCAAGTATGGAAAAGTCAGGAATTATTTCCAAAGTAAGTTTTAGTAACTGGGCAAGTCCCATTGTTATAGTCCCAAAAAAGAATTCAGGTGAATTAAGAATTTGTGTGGATTTCAAAAAAACCCTTAATACTGTCCTGGAGTCAGACCATTGTTCTTTACCTCTTCCAGAGGATATTTTTGCTTGTTTAGGTGGTCAAAAATACTTTTGTGTCTTAAATCTAAAGGGAGCCTACCAACAGGTCCAAATTAGTGAAAAATCTAAATAGTTACTTACAATAAATACACATTTAGGTCTGTTCACCTATAATAGGTTAACGTACGGCATTAGTGCTGCTCCGGGAATTTTCCAGAGCACCATGGATACCATATTGGCAGGGTTGCCAAATTGTAAAGTATATTTGGATGATATCCTGGTTTATGGAAAATCCTTGGAGCAATGTCATGAAAATGTAATCAAGGTGTTTAAACAACAAAAAAAGTGTAAATTTTTTGAAAGACATGTTGAATTTCTGGGTCATATTATAGACCAAGATGATGGTATACACCCAACTGATGAGAAAATTAGATGCATTAAAGATGCTCCGACTCCGTCAAATCTCACTGAATTGAAATCTTAGTTGAGACTTCTCAATTATTATGGAAAATTTATTCCTATGCAAATTAAGACCCTTGTATGATTTGTGTAGAG